GTAGTGGTGATAATGGGTTTGGTGAAGCGTTGCCGGTGGTGCATGCGATCCGGGTGACGAGGGAGATTGATTCCCAGTCGGAGAAGAAGTTGCCGGCGTTGCCTGGTAGTCGGACGAGGTAACAGTGGACTGACTGTGGTTACAGTTCCAATGCTTGTTATCAAGTTAGTAATAAGTAATAACAATGCAATGAATGACACAGGTATCAATCTGGATAAATTTCAAGTGAAGTGTGCATGTAAGCCCGCGTATAGATGGCAACTGACCAGTCATGTTTAGGGTTGCCTTCCGGTGCCTCCTCACGAACACTATGCAAGGCCCAATGGGATTTGGGCCTTTAGTCTCAGAAGACAGTCCATGGGCTAATAAGGGGCGTGGCGTCGTGGGGGAAAAGACAGACATAACAAGTCCCGGTTTTCCCTTCTTCTCTTCTTTCTTCTCACTGGAATTTCCAATATTCCCATAACGTGTTCGACATCGGCGACAGACTTTAATTGACACACGATCCAGTCCGTCATGACAAAGTTCATGATCAGGGGAGAGAGACGGGGCTTTGACGACGACATGGTCGATGCCGCCCATAACCCAATCTTCACGCGGACGAAGACATACTAAAGTGTTAAAGATAGAGCCAGAAGGATGCGCGGGCTATAAATTGCAGTGCTTGTCGGCCTTTTATTTTACCAACGCATTACGAGGATCATGGTGTATCTTTAGAGGCTAAAATTGTAGTGCTTTGGGGGGGAACATCATGGCATCCTTCGGGACTAAAATTGCAGTGCTTGTCGGGCGGAGATATGGTAAGATTGCATTGCAGAGTGTTCCAAACGCCCGAAATCAACCTCACGCTTGATAGGCTCAGTCACCGCTCCGGTTGTTTGATTGGAACAACGCATGCCACTGTAGTGTGTGCCTGGATCAAGGAGGCGTCGAGGTGAGGCCTGCGTCAAACCTGACCGAACGACCACGACAATAACGATGATGATAGCCACAACACCACAAAATGAGCGGTCTATCTGTTTCGACTGTCCGTTCTGATGTCCCGTTCTCCGGATTCTGGGCTGGGCGGCGGCGAGGTAAAAGCCTGCCGCATGTGAGCTGAGGGTAGATGAGGCGGCCGACCGGCTGACCGAGAAGGCTGCTGCGTGGTCCTCACGACGTGCGCTATTGGGTACCAGGTTTAAGGGCTCGGGAGGAATGTATTCGTGTGGCACTGGTAGCTAGCTACTTTTGGTAGACAGTGACGTTGCACAGATTATGTTTCGGGGGTTGATGATTCCAAGAAAGGAGCCAGTAAACCAAAGTCAGTAGACTGCAGCCAAGCACGCCAAGGTACTCGGAGTTTTATATTATATCTCTGTCGCCATCATGCCATTTCGTCGTTCTCTTTTGATCAATCGCGAATCTGGATCCGAATAGGATTATATACATGCATGGATCTGTGGGGCGAGTCCGAACCTTGCATTCGGTCCACTGGGTCTGACAGGCTGAGATGCTTTGTCAGGACGCAATTCTGATTTCTGGACATCATTCATTCAACAGTTAATGATACACCGATACACCTCGAGGGCCTTCTTTTCCTCCTCATCAACTTTAAGGCCTGAGATGGTGGTTCAGTGGCTTTTTATCTAGTTCTAGTTTGGTAACATATGGTATAGCACCTTGGTTTGGGTCAAGACATCCATCTCTCTAATATGCGCAAGACAACTAACTCATTGACTCTACATATACCATCATATCTTACCAATCATTGACACCTGTACCTCAAAAAAACTAAAGTAGTTAGTAGCTCAATTTCAATTTCATTGAGTACCTAGGACCAGGCCACCAAGTTCCCGAGCCAGGGCCTCTCCAGATCGGGTTCTACTCATCTTCGTTCTATGGTTCAGTAAATCCTGCCAAGATCATGCAATCTTATTACATTCAGCTTGACTTCCCGTTCAGATCTGACACCCGTCTAGAAACTCCGCTGCAGGGTTCCTTGTAATTTTAGGTATTCGGGTGTGTATGACAAGATATCTACCTACCTTGCGTATGCCTCGATTCGGATTGTGCCGCGCTCGTGCATTCCGATCCCGACTTCCTGGGTTGTCGGTCCGAGATCTAGACTCCAGCAGCACAGATAGTGCAACCTACCACTTCCAGCCTCGATATTCCAAAACATTGTGCAGCCTTTTCAACCATCCCGCGCGTGGAAATACGGTTTTTTTTCTTTTCGGTGGCGCGTTTGGTCATCATCTTAAGACACAAATGACTGTTGTTCATATTGCCAGGAGGCGCACGGGGAAACTGGAAGGGAAGGATTCGAGTGTGTGTTTGGACAGCTGTATATAATCCGCTAGAATTCCCGTGGTTCATTATGCGGTAGAATTCGAGAGGGAAAAAAACTGACAGGTGTGTGCGCCCAACTTTTTTTCACACAAACATTTATATTACATCACAGTATACATAGCTCGCTCAAAACAATGGCCGTAACCAACGGCAAGAATGGGACCGTAGCACCGCCTGCCAGTACCCTCCGAGAAGACCTCCGAAAAGCCATAGCCGACCTGACCGCAGCCGTGGACGACTTCGTCGCCGACCCGGAAGCAGCAAGCCGCGGCGGCACCGCAACCCACGCACAGAGGAGTGCCATCGCGGCAGTCGCAGCACGCGCCCAGGCGCTGGTCAAGGAGCCATCCGAGCAGGGACCGGAGCTGTGCCGACAGGCCTCCATCGCCGCCTCGACTCGCCTCTTCTCGGAATGGGGCGTCTTTGAAGCCATACCCCGGGACGGAAGTGTTACTTACACAGACCTGGCGGCCATGGTGAAGGTTGAGGAGGTGCTCATCAGTAGGTTATTGTCCCTGTTGCCACTCCTCTTGACCCCTAAATGTTCTAATCTTGTGTGTGTGTGTGTGTTCCAGTCCGCATAAGCCGCGTGCTCATCTCCGCAGGCGTGCTCGAGCGCGTCGGCACCGACAAGGTCGCCCACACCCCCAACAGCCGCATCTTTCTGGACGACAACCCAGCAGGCCACCTGTATAACCTGGCCTGGGATAACACCTTCTTCACCTTCCCTCGACTACCTCAATATTTCGAGACGTACGGCCGCAAGGAGCCGCAGACCCTCAACCATGTCCCCGTTACCTACGCCCAGGGCAAACCGGAGCTGGCCTACTACGACATGATTGCGCAGTCCCCTGCAAAAACGCGGACCTTCATGATGGCCATGTCGGCCATGGAGACCAGCGGCCCTACGGCTGGGGTCTACGACTTTAGCTGGGTGGTGTCTCTGCTACGCTCTGGACATATCGCGGCCGATAGACCGGTGCTGGTTGACGTCGGCGGCGCCAAGGGACACGCCATCAAGGCTATTGTCGGCGAGTTCCCTCAGCTTCCGCTCAAGAGGCTCATCTTGCAAGACGGACCGGCGGTCATCGAAAGTGCCGTTGCCATGGATGAGCCTGAGTTGAGAGGTGTGAAGAAGATGGCTGTGGATTTCCATGCCGAGCAGCCTGTCAAAGGTACAGTACCCTTTCTCTCTATCTTGTCCCGTGTTTTTGGTCATGACTTGCTGACGCAGTGGATTGGATTGTTATTAGGAGCGCTGCTGTATTTCATCCGTCGGTGCTTGCACAATTACAGCGATCAAGTGTGCATCAATATCCTCAAGAATCTTGTTGATGCCATGGCCGATGATAGCAAGGTGCTCATCATGGAGGATGTGATCGAGGATCCGCCGCCCGAGTATGTGCCTTTCATGGACTTTGTCATGCTCACGTTTGCTGGCAAGCAGCGGACGATGAGTAATTGGGAGAAGGTGATCTCGGGGGCTGGGCTCAAGATCTCGTCCATATCGACGGCCAAGGGTCCGTGGACGATTTCTGTTATGGAGTGTGTCAAGGCGGCAGCGCTATAGATCTTCCTTGCCGAATCTGGTCGTAAATTGTTGGATTGGTAGATCGTAGTAGTAACTAAAGATTCAACATCCCATGCATCAGCAACATACCTCAAGAGTGTCGCGTGCGTGCCTACAGCAGTAAGTATAGAGCCACGAATATTCCCAGCAGCATGACGTAACATAACGTCCACTCTCGGAGTCCTTTGCGGCGCAGTTCTGATGGAATAGCTCCGAAGGCCGAGGAAGACGCCACCTCAGCTCCAACCACACACAACATCGTGAATGAGTATCGGGGGGGGGGGGGGGGTGACTGGAGTGCCCGGGGTTGACTTGTATGTATTGAAGTTGGCGACTCTTGTGAATTGGTTCCTATGAAATTCTGAAGTCAGAGCGCGACAGTATGAGTCGATGACGGACGATGATGCTTACACATACCGGTATTAGAGATATTGACATGTGGTCTGCTAGCCTAGAATAGTGGAAGAGGAGAATTCAGATGCCGAGCCGCCCTCGTCGTCGGAGACCTGGTTATCCGAAGCAGCACTGGACCATCAAGTACCTATATATATATATATGTATATGTATATACTCGCAACAACAAAGCTGTGAAAGGTCTGACAGGAGGTTCTTATCCTGATCAGCATCTTCATTACGTATTCACACTAACAAAGTTACCATCAAAACCACCCCCCTATTATTAAAACTGTCTTGTCATCTTCATCGCTGCTGCGTGGACCACTTTCAAACATGCAGCTCATTCGATTCTTCGCCGGAGCAGCGCCTCATCGCACCACCAGTGATGGCCGTCCAAGCAGGTTCCGGAAAGTCGACAGCAGGCGTGATACAGAGGAGCTGCTGCAATGTGGCGGGGGTCCACAACGCCTGGCGTCGATGCCGCCAAAGACAACGGCAGGTAACGAACATAAGAATCATGAACGATTTATTCTCCTATAAGGAGACGACGACGGCTTGAAACGAACATTCTACGATGGATGATTTCTTTAATACGACCATCATCGTAACAGCGATCCATGTCAAGAAAGTCGTCCCTACCGGGTGGGGTGGTACGTGGCCTATATGAACAGATTCCCGTTAACCGCCGTCAGCGACGAGAAAAGGTTGTGTAGTGTAGTGGTAAGCACCTTGGATTTTGACACATATGTTAAACTTTCTCTTCCGGAAACCCCGGTTCGAACCCGGGCACGACCTTTTTGTTGGCCAAAAGCTCTGTTTTGGACTCCATCTCTTCTTTCTTTTCTTTTAAACCCCACAGGGTCTCTGAGTCACTCACTGTTATAATGAACTACCAAGGCTTCTCCACAATAACCAATCGAAAGCCATTCTTCAAATCGGGTATGGTGTAGCGGTAACATCGTTGACTCTCACTTCTCAGGAGTGACTGCTCTGTTCTCAACAGCCCCGGGTTCGACTCCCGGTATCCGAGTAACACATTTCTTTTTGCTGATCTTATCAACAGATAAGATACTCCTTCGATAACTTCTAGTGGCCAACAATCTCTCATAGGTCGTTTTGGTTTTTCTTTTCACTCTCTCAAGATAATCTACCGGGGCTAGATGGGAACTTGCAACTCTCAACATGTCCACCCAACCAACAGGCAACATACCTCGTTGCACAAAGAACACTGGGCAGGCAAAGATGCCCTACCAGGCTGACTGAGTGACACAAGAATGTCCCCAGCTTACGGTGCGCTTGGCAGTGCCATCAATGACCAATGAGATGGTACTTATAGGAGACGAACCGGTCACCACCGGCGCAGTCTCAGAGGGGGTCACACAGTACACTCATGATAGCTGTTCAACATGACCAGCATCATGGTGGGTGGTCCGGCATCGGCCGCATCAAAATAAGTGTAATAGACCCCAAAGCAAGAAATAGTCCTTCCGGATGGATGGACGGATGGACATCTGGACTGCACAAAGACGAGACGGATCATCCATGTTGCGGCTCAAAGAGACGTGATCCCCCCCTTCTTGTGTCAGGCCAACTATTAATCCAAGCAAACTAAGCTAGGCCCAGACCGGTATTTTCAGCTGGCTTGGGGTACGGCGAGTGAAACGGTTCAGCTTGCCATGTTCAATATTTCCTGCCTGATTGGATCGCTAAAGCGGTGAACCATGCAAGCCACCAACCACTAAACCCGTGATCCCAACAATGGCCCAGGCCTGCCCTTGAATCTTGGAAGCGCGGGGAAATAAAATCGATCCCAGGGAATTGCGACGGACACACCCAGCTGGGCTTTGCATGCTGCTGTGGTGCGGTGAGACATGCATTAACAAAGCAGAGCAACAAACAAAGCGGGTAAAGATCTACGCTCGTGGCTGATGTTGGTGGCTTGCTGGGTTTAATACATGTCTAGATTCAAACGGGTGAAATGACGGCACTGGAGCGGTTTTCTTCCCGATTTTTACTGTTTTTGGAAGGGAAAACGAAACAAGCAATAATTTGAGTGATAACGTCTGGACCTAAACCCCTCAAAGATACGTCAGTGCTGGGCCAGATAGATGGTAGCATCTCTCAACGGAGCCTGGAGATGTCCTTTTGTTCAACAGCCACTGCATCCAGTCCGTCGGGTTGCTTAAAGGTACACATCCAAGCCCCCGCCACTTGTCGCATAACATGCATGATGCCGTACCCTGAATTTCACATCAGATGTCATCCCTACCGAGATGCAATTCATCGGCATTGAGGTTGCGTTGCCTTCGCACTGCTTTCTTCGCAGACGGCAAGGTTCCAACCCGTTCCGGCAAACTCGGTCTTGCTTGTCTCCCCCGAATACGTAGTGTAATATGGAGTGTCGGTACCCATAGTGTCAGTCGACCTTCAGCTAGCCTCGACAAAGCTAGTGAATACATATGGCTTAGCATCGATCTGGATCAAGGCTCGGCTGCTGTCTTTCAGCCTGCATGATATCGGCCACCACCATCCGAAAGTAACGAGCAGTTTAGTCGCGCACCATGGTCACCTTACCGAGTGTTTCCATAATTAACACCCAGCACATATTGCATATTACTAGTACTTCGTATTCGGCAGTGTGTCGTCGCTCGAAATAAGTACCACCTCCCACATTCCCTGGGTCCTTCTCCCTCGTCGTCACTGGCTCGTTCCGTCCACCTGTTTTCCGGCAAGCAGCCATCAATCGACCAAACTCACGAAGGAGAGCAGCCAGACTTACACCCGAACCAAAGCCTGAAGAGAGGGAGGTGAACGAGTCCGGCAGAAGAGCAGGGGACATGTTTGAAGTGCCGAATGATCACATGGAATCCGTGTGAGTGCAGCGAGCTTACTCATACACACACACACACACACACACACACTTTCTCTCACACCAACATCACACCAACACCAACACCGCTGACGACATGTCTAGTTCTCCAACGACAACCCGAGCAACTCCTAATATCTCGAATCCATCCGCCGCCCTCAGGGGCTTCGGGCGTAAGGTGCTCTCCTTCTGCTACCGCGTGCGCCGCGCCCGCTTTAAATTCAACATCTTTTTCTCTCCACGGTTTATTGCCTCAAACAGCAACAACAACATGCAACTGGAAACCTTTGCCCAAAAGATGAGCGTCCTGCTCGAAAGGATCGCTCACTCGGCAAACTTCACATTCGACGACCTCGACAGCAGCAGGCCAAACTTGAGCGTCACCCTCGAGTCATGGCTCATCAACCCTAACGCCCACAATTTGGGGCAGCCAAACGGCAGTCTCGTCGCGCTGTGCTGCTCCCACCTTTTGGCAATCCAGTTCCAAGAGGAACTACTCACCACAAACCCCGATGACGACAGCCCCGTTGCGGAAGATTTCCAACGGTTCCTACTACTCGCGATGAAGTCCCTCGCATGGCGCTCCTCCTCTCGGGAGATGAAGCAGCCACAACATGCCTCCTCCGCAGCAGTAGGACATCTCTCCGGCGGATACCGACTCATCAAGCGCCTTGACGGAATACTGACGACGCAGTTCCTGTCGCAGCAGTGCAGCCCCGAGTACTGCCAGGTTCTGTTTCTGCTTGTGCTTGGCACGGTCCTGGGGGTGGGATACTCGGTACAGCAGACGACAAGTGAAGAGTTGACACAACAGACGGCCGTCGTTGGACCAAGTATTACTAATAGTGGGAATGGGGTGGTGCTAGACAACAGCGAGTTCCGGCATAGCCCGACGCTGTGGCTGGCGACGAAGGAGCACTTGAGCCAGATGCTGGCGCACCATCTGATATCTTTGGGTTCGCACCTGGGGATCAGTGACGCGAGTATTGAGCGACGGATTATCGACGCGGCCTTGGACAGGTGGAGCAAAATGGAGTCGTTTATTTGGGCCCCGGACTGGACACCAACTACTCTAATTCCTTCAATGACGACGGAGAATCTAGGTGGTCTGAGAATTGGTGGCGCCAAGGAAGAAGAGGAGGATGACATATTACTACGCGTGCAAGACAACGACGAAAACCCTCCGTACTGGGAGGACGGCGACGAGGACATGGAAACATCGGCACTGCTGGTCGCGGCTCCCATGCCACCGACAACGACTACGGAAGAACCACATGTACCACCACCACCTCCGCCGCCAGAGCCGTGCGCCGAGCCAGGGACATACTACTTCCCAGAAGAAGAACCAGATGACTACCATGACAACAACGACGAGGAAGAATCACAGTTTCTGAGGGCAGCAGGTGGAGACAATGCGAGTATAAAAGGAAAAAGAGCAATGACTGACCCGGGCCCCCCTTCGTCTCGTCAGCAGCAGCAGCAGCAGCAGCAGCAGCAAGAACACTGTAAGTCACTACTTTCTAACCCGGCTGTTTTCAAGTCATGCTTGAATGTTAACATCATGTCAAATAATTAGTCCCAGAAATACCGCCCTGGCGGACCGTCAAGCGAAGAACAATGTGGGTTGTTCGGCCGGCATTTGATGCCGGCGCCGAAGGGAATGTGCAGAGAGCTCGGGTCAGGAGGAAGGATATTGTCTTTATATGAGAAATTGATGAAAGGATGGATGGGTCAGCAGGGTGCGCGTAGACTGACTTGAATTTATCGACGATGTTTGTTCGTTTGTGAGCCTGTCTGTCTAATTAAATGATCTCGGCATCGTCGGCAACCTCAGCCTGGGCGGCCCTCCGGTGCAGCTCGCTCCTCAAGCTTGAATACAGTCCTGAAACGAACCTATGGAATGATGCTTCTTCCGCACGTCACCATGGCAATTTCCCAGTAGTATTGCATATGTCCATTATCGCAACCCGTTGTTGACACAGTCCGCCCTACCTGTTCTGGCAGGGGTGGGACTTACGCTTTGCGAGGACAAAGTCTCGCTGTTGAAAAGGTAGTATTCTCTGTAATTATCTTTAGTTGCATTGGTCTCCTTGCTTACGGGGCATGCTCCGGCGTCATGTCAATACGAGTAGAGATATCCCAACTCCCACGCGCGGGGTGGGTGGCTTTGCTGAGTTCTTGAAGCCAATGGAAGTTACAGCCAGGTAATGTGAGACGGACGAATCTGGGCATATAAAACTTCCTTTTCCGTTCGTAGTCCTGTGCTCCTACGAGAATGAACCTAACCATTCTGACATAGGCCTTGGTGTTTCTCTGATGCCACTTCAGTTGTAAATCCATAATCTCCACAAAGCATCGTCCGTCCACCTGACCACCTGGACAGTGCTGGACTACATAAATCCTGTTATTTCAGCACACACCGTCGAGACGCCGTGCCAACTAAAGCAACCCGAATCCGTTCCTCCCGTCAGACCAACTTCCCATCCAAAACCGTCCTAAAAATCTCAAAATTCCCATCATTCTTAGGATCATACACGGCAAAGATTATGGATTGCCACCAATTTCCCTCGAATTCAGTTTCGCGCAGCACCTCAAGCCAGCAAGCCGCAACGTCCTCGGGCGGGTTCGCATAAACGCCGCACCCCAGCGCGCCCAACACCAAATTCCTGTGGCGGTACGTCGCCGCAGTCCTCAACACCAGCCGCATCTTGTCCTTGGTGAGGTTGCGGTCGCGGTCGCGCAGGAACACGTACTTGTACTTGTGTTGGCCGCCGCCCACCCTCCCGACGCGCCGCAAGCGCGGGCGCCGGATCGCCGGCACAGTCAGCACGCTCACCACCGGTAAGTCGTCGTTGAGAAGCAGCAGGCGGTGGCCACTGGACAGGTCGCCGCGCACGACTGCGACATACGGCGCGTACAGCACCTC